GAATACACAAAACTCGTGTATCATTCCATTGATAGAAGGATAAAAAAGAGTACAACGAGGGATGCAACACATGACACGAACACAGACAAGCGTGAACATGGTGACCGGAGCAGAGGAGACAAGAGATGCTCAGTCCGAACAGAGAATACATCACAGCTAAACCTACCAAGCCTGAACCAAGAGCGGCAATGCCAGACCAACAAGAATTACATCATCTCTCGAGCTGAAACCGGGGATACCGCGAGCGATCAAGATGGCGCCTTTAAGAAGAAAGACTACACTAAGCGCCGTCACCATCTGGTCTGGAAGAACCGGACCTAGGGTTTCCTCTAAGCTCGAAGAGGGGCACAGCTGGAGGCCTTGGCCACGCCTCCAAGAAGTAAGCGACACCCGCGGGTGCCGCCGTTGCCAGCACCAGCAAGGTGAGCAGGATCTCTCCCTGGCCTAAAGCTGAGCAATACCATAGTCGCTGAATTAGGATTAAAAGACGAGGAAGCCGAAGTTGGTTGGAACCACCATGCCAGAAGGGAGTCCATCTTTAGCTGGCCATCTTAGTGATGTTTTTCTGTGTACAAACTTGAGTCAATGTAGTAATCAACCCTGATGCTTACAACTCCGAGGATGTCAATGGGCTTGGACAGTGCAACAGAAATTCCTACTAACTGTAAGTGCATATAAATTACCTATGCAAGTCATCACTGAGCTCGACCCTCTACTCCTTGTTTTGCTCGGATATAAAGAATGGCTTCTTTGTGAATAATGATATGTTCCATCTATCTTCTCATGTTTAAATAGGGGTGTTTTTTCTCACCTTTAATTGGAGTACTATTATGTTAGCTTCGGTGTGATGTGGCACAACAACCATTATGCCTCTATGCATCTATACCACTATATGTTCATATTAGTTGTTGGATGAAACTGGTTCAATGGTTGAGAAGTGGCAAATCCAAGTAATGTTGGGTGTTGAATATTCTCTTCACTACACCAAATTCTGCGACATGTACTACCAGAAGATTCCATACTTGGACTTAAGCACAATTATAATATGCACAAACCTCTAAACAATGATATGATATTATTCTACTATCTTTCATAGTGTAATTATCCAACTTTTATCTTTTAAAAGGATTGACATTCATTTTGTTTTATTATTGCGTTGGACTATATAAACAAAGCACTTATCGTTTGTTCTAAACTCTGATATTCTTCATTTCTCCCTACCTTTATACTTCCAAGGAATTAGTACTTTATTTTCTTTCTTGTTTTTGTTCCGATTTAAAGCGATAGCATCATCTTCCAATGTTGTCATTGAATATATTGTAGCTATAATTTGATTATCAATTGGATAAATCTACACCTTATATTTCATGCATATGTGAGTCAAATTTACATGTTTGTGTAGTATAATGTGGCATGTGGATATCCGGTTGCACTTGCCCTCATGTGCAAGACAAAGGTGCAACTTGTTAGTCTTAATAATGGCATAAGGAGTACATGGGCATCTATAGTCCAAAGACTCCCTCATCATTTATTGAAGTTTCTTTAGATGGCCACTGTTAAGATGGCCTTGCCTTGAACTTCTTTAGGTGATGACATTGAAGATAGACTTTGCATCAGTTTCCTGAACAAAAGATGCAAGAGGCAGAAATGACGCATGGAGGAATTGTTATGTCA